GCCATCGATACAGTTAAGCTATTCTTTCTTTTCCTCTGAAAATGGTTTTTATTTTGTCGTTACCCAACTTTAAACTTTTCGCGACGCTAATTTCTTCCTTTCAGTAGTGCAGAGTAAGTAGTCTTGAATAAACTTTATCGACGTGTCAAGTAAATATTATGCTGATAGCATGCATTTTTTATTATAAAATATGCACTAATTCTGATATACCCTCTCCTGAGAGATGAACAGCATCTGGTATTTGGCTGGACGAGGAGACGGAAATTGGGAGAATGTGAAACTTTACCACGTCCAGGGCAGCTTCACCTACTTAAATTTTCTAGTTTTACACTTAACACTCATGGCTTTTTTGCTGGTAAGCTGGCTATGGTAATCAAGGTTATGAAACTGGGGAAATCGGTTAACCGGGCACGTCCAACTTGCATTCATGAAGTTTAAAGACTGGCTTTAGTGTTTAGATCTTCCACGCATTTTTTGTGCCAGTAGAATGGTCATAAAGTAGGTGGGAGCATTTTATGCGCAGCATTGTTGCCCATTTTAGGTATGTGGTACATATCTTCAAAATGGAAACAAGCTAAAAATGAACAATACATATTCAGTTAAATTCTCAATCGAAAAGAGCGCCTGACGTCAAATTGACTACAGGTACGCAATGAAGGCAGCGCTAGCAAATCCCCCATCATTGCACCATTGTTCATTGTAAGCTCTGGGCTTTAATTTATTTTGAGTTAATTTATTCGGTGCGAATCAGAGTTGTCAAAAGGCTAATGTCAGACTCTGATCATCAAGGCCTAATGACCTCAAAGAAAGCACTGATCAAGACTGTGTAAGTCCGTAATCAAGTATGGTTGAGATAATGAGATATAAGCTTGTAAGCATGTAAGTTAAGTTACAAAACCACTTGTTCTAACTTCTCCGTCTAGGGTCATTAACGTTTAACCCCCCAAGTAAAGGCATGACTAGCGCTGCATAATCTGGCACGTCTGGTTTGGTTGATGAGCTTAATCTAACATGTTGGACGATGGTGAGTGTAGTTAGAACCTTCACCGAACGGACAATTTGAGTTGCATTCTTTTGGACTGCGACTAAACACCATCTCTATCCTTTAATCTATTAATCAAGTATAGATAGTTCTTTCTCAATTCTCTACCAACGAACCTAAAATTCAACGTATTTCCTAACCGATTAATTTCAATAGCCTCTCGTATCTTTCTTTTGACTACAGCAAACCTACTAATTTGATACCATTCTATTTAATGTCCAGTTTCTACCATGTATTCGGCCACATCTGATCCAGCTTACTATACAAGCATTTTGGTGTTCTCCCAATTATTGTTGAATAGGTCGACATGTCTCACCAATAAAAAATCGACCACATAAGCAAACAATCTTGTAGCAAAGAAAAGTTTGGTTTTGAGGAATCTATTGTTTCTTAATTCTTGAGCATACTTCCATTTCGAGTAAAAGTGTTAAGTGAAGAGATTCGAAGGTCGGTTCCACCAGAAGACGACAGCGGATTCCTTTTGACCAGCTGTCGATTGTCTTTACTGGAACATTCGTGCTGACGCTGTTTCCGAGGCAATCTCCTTCGATTCCGGTGAAAGGGTGCTAAGCTTTCGTCCGTCACATGACGAACATCATCAGAGCAAGGTATCATCGTCACAACAAAAGGAGTAAAGAAAACTTTTTAGGGATTTTTCGGAGACTTTTCTTGACTCGTTAGCTTGAATTTGGTTGTGACGATGATACCTCGTTCTGATAATGTTCGTCATGTCACGGACGAAAGCTTAGCACCTTTACACCGGAATCGAATGCGATTGCCTCAGAAACAGCGTCACAATGAATGCTCCAGCAAAGCCAATCGACAGCTGGTCAAGAGAAATCTGCTGTCGTCTTCTGCTGGAACCGACCTTCGAATCTCTTCACCCAACACTTTCACTCGAAATGGAAGTAAGCTCAACAATCTTGTAGCGGCCGGATCTCGATAGTGGGTCATATTTCTCTCTAAAAGATTGCATAACAGAAGAAAGTGTGAGGGTTCCTTCATGCAATTTCATACGAAATGAAAGTCCCCCCGACAATGTTATTTCAGGAGATTAATCGAAACCCAGTTTATCTTTGTATCTACATCATATGATGGACATCTTCAGAGCTGGAACTCATTCTTCTTGATCTAGTTTTAGCGTGACACTTTTACAAGAATAAGTTCTAGCTCTGATGATGTCCATGATATAATGGACGAAAGCTCAGTCTGTTTTCACAATAAACGAGGGAGAATGTCTCGTGGACTGCGTCAATCTGAATGTTGTATTAAAGCCAAACGGCTGCAGTACGACGGGCATTCAGCGGACCTTCGAATCTCTTTTTCATGCATTTTGAAACAAAATAAAAGTCTCTCAAACCATAATGGATGTATAGAAGTTGTCTGGCCTTGTTTCCGCAACTTGGTCACATTGGCAGGACGACCTGGAGGAACTCACCTTGTCTGGAGTCCATAGTATGCATAATCAGTTCCAGATTCGGATCGTGGACTTGGTCTATTCTCAGCACCAAACTACAACTCGTCAGAGAAAGTGATATAAATCCCTGAACTAACTTTCTGCCGAAATGCTCGTGCTATCACTCCTCTTTCTGTCCTAACCCCTGTCTCCATTTCCTACCCCCTTGTCTCGCCCTCGTCCTATCACAACTTCTGACATGTTTATATTCCATACAAGATGTGCCCTTTTGGCGAATTTACCGTGGCGTCATGGAACCTGTCCCTCCCTCTTTCGAGTGGCCAATCGCACTCTAGCCTCCTGTCCAGATCTGCCGCATGTGAGCTCGTAGATCCGTTTCCTATTCATCTGGTTGACCGATTTCACTTGGTAACCAGCCCCAGTCTACTTTTGACTCCAGGCGCTATTTCTCAAACGTTCAGTAGCACATACAATGTCGCCTCATCTACACAGCACCTAGTCTCTGATTGCCATGCTTACGGATATTAGGACATCTATCTTTGGTCGCCTGCTGTATCTCAAGTGGATTATTAGCCATTTGGTCACAATGGCCGATTTCTCTGGCCAAATCGCTCTCCCCAGTCACGTGAAACGTTGTCTATTTATAAGCTGATTACTCGCATTGAACATGTCTTCGCTTCATTTCAGAAACTTCCTCACCCTCTTCTTCCTTGCGATACCTCCGGCTTATGATAGACGCGTGTACCATGAGCAAACAGTATTCATCTATCTCTGGTCGCCTGCTGCATCTCAAGAGGGTTATTAGCCAATTTGGTCATAATGCTCAATTTCTGTGACTCAATACATCTCCAGTATCCTTTGATGTTCCTCGATTTTTATTCTGATTTTTCTCACTGTTTCACCAATATATTCCTGTTTTACAGGCACCGAATGCTATGCAGTAGACTCCCGAGCTATCCACTTTGACCACCCTTTCATATTGCGTGGGGACCTAAATATTCCATTTTTTCAAAATTGGTTCTACTTTTTAGCTAGTTCGAAGGAAGAGAGATATTTCAACTTATGTGAGTCTTTCTTCACCTTTATCTTTCTTTCATACTCCCCGACCTTTCATCGACTCTTCACGGCCAGTATGTTTCTTTGTGATATTTCTCTCGGGTATCCATTACCGAGGAATATCCAAGTCAACTTTTCCTACCATTCATCCCAGAATTCCACGTCCATTAATCGTAGCCTTCTGATGATCATGCTCCTCAGTATGCACATCTTCATTATGTAGTTGGAATAAGAATAGAAATTGAGTTTTATTCCGTCATATGACTTCTTTCGGAACAATTTCCTCTTGAGTCCGTCTCGACGGAAAGTTGGTCAATTGATTGACTTCACTTGTTTCTTTGACGAGTAGTAGCTTGGTTGCTAAAACCGGTAGTATTCATTGACGATGCAAACTACGATGGCGGCGAAACGTCTGGCAATGTAACGTGTCAACGGTCCGAATATGGAAATTCGCATGCATACTATGGACTCGGGACCAGGTGCGTTCCTCTAATTCCTTCTACCAACATGACCAAGTTGCGAAAACAAGGTCAAACAACTTCTATTCAAACGAAAGGTAACCGCAACCATACAATAGGCCATGTCATCCAGCTTTTTATACTTTTAATTAAAATATCGGATGTAGATGTCGGTTTTTTTTTGTCGTCGGACAGTTGACTCGACTTGGAGTGAGCCGTGGAGTGTGATGAATGCAAAAATGAACAAGAATGTGATTGATCAACAGTCAGAGTTCATAACTCAGAGTTTGAGGGACAAGCGGCATGCATGCCCGAGGAGAAATGTAAAGGTTAACTCATCATACTTGGTTGTAATAAAAAAAAACTTGGATGAGAACAACTTTTGGTAAAGCAAGCCTCTGTGGCATTCAATAGAAACGTCAGCTCTACTCATTTCATTGTGGGAAAATTCTACAAACAGTCCTTCATCACCTTAAACGAAATAGTGTGAATAACTCTCATATTACTAATTTACTGGTTGTCTCGAAACTCAACCTAAACACAAGAATCACTATCTTGGCGTTATTCCGATTTGGTAAACTACCACATAATACAGTAGCAGTTGACCGTTTCATATTAGATTATACTGCTCATTAATCACATAAACATAGATAAAATAACACCTTATTTACAAAAACATCCTATTGTAAATTAATATTATCAGTATATAATAAATTTTAACACATCTCATTCATTTCATTCATTCTCATCCAATATTAGCTTAATTAATATCATCGCATCTCTATTCTTAAGACAAATCAGCTCAATTAATACAATCTTAGATTAACCAAGATGATATAATTTCATATTATCGAACTTCATCGAAATTAACCCCATGGTAACCTAGCTGATTTCATTATATTCATCTCATCCCATCTTATTTTATAAGTTCTCCTCTTATCTCCTCTTTTTTTTCATCTCATTTTTGTCTCAATATTACGTTCAGTCGTTCCTTAGGTTTATCGTTCTATAATTCTATCAGTGCTTCGGTCCTTTCTCT